CTAGGGCGATATTTCCACAGCAAGTATAAGAAAACAAACATCAGACATGACGCACATTTCAGGGCAAAGGTCAACCCCACAAGACTGTATCTCAATAGATCGTTATCATAAAAAAGACAATCTCCTCGGATAGAACCATTGCAGAATGTCTTCCATAATGAGCATGTGTTGTCGATTACAACCCCATACAACAGAGGAATAGGAATGGGTCCTGTTGAAAATGAACCAATATATAGCCAGTATAGGGGGAGGCTTTTATACATAATCTGGGTCATATATATATATAGAAGATCAATTCATCAAAACCAAAATTCAATGTGATTTAAACACATAAATCATGTATTATCTCTCAGTCTACACATTGATAACAATGTCAATGTAAACACTTACCAAGACATCGTACGAGGAGAAATCTCACTGCCAGTGCAAATGACTTATCATTCTTATCCACAGATCTAAAATTAAAAATAAAATAGTTTGCTCAGAAAATGGCGATTATTTATTAATTGCATCATCACTATAGACTGTTGAAATCGGCAATTTCACACATAAGTGTGGTTTAACAATGACAGCTAGAAAGACAACGAACTAAATTACTATTACCTGATGGCTAAAATCATGGCGGGCACTTCTCGAAATGAACATGAGATGGAAAGGAAGAAAACCAGAATCACAAATGGAATGAAAGCTGTACACCTTTCGGGCTCATGACATATGCCATCTTCGGCCATGGTCGGTGGACTTGAAGATATTTTGTCTCCAGTTAAAAGCGGTTCATCGCATGAGCATTCTAGGTAGGTCTGTGAAAAGATTTAAATGTTGAACATTTGTCTATTGTATGTCAATCGAATGTGTGGTAGATAAAACTAAAATATAGCAATATTTACGTGTTTAGCAATAGACTAGAATAACTATAGAATGTACACGCATGACAACGAATTAGCCAATGTGGCTAAAACTCAATAACATTGCCTGTACCAACAACTTATACTACAACACATCTTTTGTTCGGATGGTGATCTTGGGAGTACTGTGTGCATGTAGGAATGTGTCTCATTATTTTAATATAAAATAGATACACACAAATACAATTCTGATATTGGGTATTTTTATACAATTCTTCCATTTTAATGGTAGTGGCTTTCTTTTCTTTAATTATAGAATAATTATACTGTATTTCCAATTATACAATAAAAATAACTTTTAGATGGTCATATGAATGCTAAGTATAACACAGTTAAACTATACATGGCTTGCCCTGTATATGTGAGGGTTGGCAGATCATAGCATAGCGCGGGGTATCATTATATATTCCGGGCAAATTACAGCATAAGATATCAATCCTTACTACATCCTTAGTCGCTAAAACAAAAACTATGCAGAAAAATAAAGAAATGTAAATTCATCTTCTTACCCCATTGTCGTTGAGTTGTGTACACCCAGCATGACATGGCGATACGTACGTCATTCCATTGGATCCACACACAGGCTGATACATGTCAGGCGAACAATGACAATTATCTGCACAAGCCATCGACATATATTGACCAACGGTGCTGCGCCAAATCAATAAAAATATCATATCAAAGTTTGGGTAGATGCGGGAGTTCGAAAAGTCAGTTGCCCAGGTAACGTAGGATGTAGATCATAAAATTCCGGCACGGTTCATATATTATAACATGATACATTAATTCCGTACTGATTGCTTTTATTTAGCAACGTTTTAGAAATCAATTATATTAGGTATATCAATTTTATACAAAACACAAACCTACCCTTCTCCGTGTATGCTAAGCCCACTGCAGCCCAATGGGAATAACATTAAGCTGAGCGTAGCAGACGTACCCAGTGTTATCACCAGGAGCATTGCGATAGACTTCTCTCTAATTATGTTGAACCTTTTGATTACGTACCCACCCAGAAGCATTCCAATGCCATATGGCACACCCGTTGCCATACCTACAGACGGAAAACACATAATAAAATAAACACAATAATAAAACAACCAATATGAAGACATGTGTTAATAACTAACACGGAATTGTCTGTTTACAGAATTCATATTTTCAGATGTTTTCACAACTACATTGTAATACAGCTACAGAGTAATTGTGAATCATTGGAAAAAGGTTATGTCATAAACACAACAATGTAAATTCAAAAAATAAAAACTTGCGACACAAGTGACCAACCTGTGGTTATATTTGCGGCCAGAGGGGTCACGTGAAATTCTTCTTGTATATATTTCGGTATGAATGTTATCAAGCCGAATACACATCCAAGTTCAACAGCATAAGCCGCGTTCACCAATATAAAGTGTGGATTCTTTATCAAGCGCCACAAAGCTTTGAGAAAATCTAGTACAAAGAAAAAATAGGAGTAACTGCGCATATAAATCGTTGGAAATGGATGCCATCCTATAACAATACTTGTATCTGAACTCACCTTTTACAGTCTCTCTCAACTTTCTTATTAATTGTACAGTATCCTTTTTTACTTTTTGTTTCAGGTTTTCATTTCTGTTATCACTGCCATTCTGATTTGACGATTTCATGCACATTCGACTCTCATTCAAATCCTTTGGTACTAGGAAAATTGGAATGACCATCATAATCATGAGGGGTAGAACGATGACACCTCCTATCCACCATGCACCGACCCATCTTGGATCATCTGGCGACATATCAACATTGTCCAGATTCACCCGACCAAGATCCACGAATACAAGCGTACTGACAGCTGCGACTATCCACCCAACGATTGGTCCAAACCCCCACATCATGTTGATAATTCCTGAAAAAAAAAACAGTTCTAATTCTCAAAATCCAATTACATTCTGTATATGCAATCTCACGAGTGATTTACAATGCTGCATGCAATCCTAGATTATACACCCCCGCAATACTGCATGGAAACTTGTAGTGAATTTTAAATTGGAGTAAACGTTCTCCGTAAAACGTCATGGAGGCATGCACAAATGGTGGTCATCGTTACTGTTTGTGTAGCGGTCAATTTATAGACTTACCTAGATATAACGCCGATGTCGTGTGTTTGACTGAGTCATCGACAAATGCACTTCCAAGTGTTGATACCGGGCTATAACCAACGCCCATTATTAGTGCACTGAGAGCAAAACACAAGTAAGCAACATTGCCATCTTGGACTTCTTCCTTGTCAAAGACGTCACAACTTGTGCTATCGCTGTTTGGAGTGATCGTCTGGTTTCGGTTCAAGGGTAATTCTTTGCACATAACGACATTTGCTAACACGCTATCATTATTGGTGTCAGTTGCTCGGGGATACACATATGTCCCAAGAGTAAGGTGCGGCAATATAGAACAGAACACGCCAATCGCAATGATGAATAGTCCCACTGAAATCCAGCGGGGCCTGTGACTTTCGGGTAAACCTCCAAGATATCCACAGAAAATAACTGTGATAAGAGTACCCACTTGGTGGAGGCTGGTAAGGGAGCCGAGTTCAGAACTATTTAAGTTATAGCGTTTTTCAATTGTGGTCAGAGTTCCCAGTTTATATGTCGTAATCATCGCATACAGCCCAACAGTGAACGCCAGGCATCCGACAAAGAATCTGATATCGTACAGAAGTCGTTGCAAGCAATTCAGCTTCTTGGCATTCGGCAATTTCTCGGCATTTCTTTCACCATAGTTACTGTGACAATCTCCGTTATTTAAATCAGTTTTCACCACATCTGCTTCGAGTTTGTGAGAGTCACAATATGTAACGTCATTTTCTCCCGGCATCGCCTCCATTACTAAAGTATAGAATCAATCTAGATATATAAATACAATTATACACGTAGAGAATAATAAAGGACACGATCAACTATTTCTCAGGGGTAAAGACTGTATCAAAAAGTCTTAGAGTAAATTCAAGGAACGAAATTCACTGCCGCCACAGGCGAGTAACCATTAGATATTGCACAATTCACGAACTATATGCAAATCGTCACAATCAACATAATTTCAAAAATAAAATGTATTAGCGCCCTACGCCCAATTACGTTTTTTAAACACGAAAACGCGTCAATTTAACCACGGCTTGATTAATTAAAACACGCTCTCGATCAATTCCAATGATTTATTCAGGTAATCGAAAGGCTGGTTGAATAAAATTGTAATTTTCCGTAAAACGGCCATTATGTTACCAGGTGAAAATCGCGGTCCGGGAGGTCAAATTCTTCAATAACCTACCCATTGAAACAAATTTTCAAGAGAAAACCTGACGCTTGAAACAGATAAAACCCATCATTTAAAGAACATTTTTTGGAGCGAAAACCTTGGCTGTCATTGCCACATACAGCACATTCCATGCACTACTAATATATGATCACAGTTTTGGGTGCTGACAAATCTAAAAAACGGACCCCTTGTCCATAATTTACAGACCCTCTGGGTGCCTGAAATACCCGTTGGTGGGTTACTACAAGTGACCCCCGGGTGAATACATACCAAGGGTACTGTTTGTGCACATGCGTACTGTCACGAAGCTGGACAATGTTGACACGTGACGTCGCGTTACATATGCCAGACCATTCACGAATGTGAAGGTGTTAAATCTGACCTTTGCGCTTTTTTATTTTACAATTTATTGGTCACAAACTATGCACGTATTTCAGGTCAGGTGTTTGTGTCACGTGATTTACCTCATATAATAACTTGTACCCGAGCACTAGACACACAGCTTCCGTACTTTTTGTTCACACTTTACTGTGTTCTTGGACCTTGTCAATTTTTGGTCGACTCCCAGAGTGAAAGTGTGTACACTATGAATACAGTACTGCAATACCACATATCTACTCTTACACTTGTTTCTCAATTCTGATATTACTATAAATGTTAACCTATTATTTTTTCAACATAGAATAACAAAATTATTAAAACATTTCGCGCAATATTCAATGTTATACATAATGACCCTTTAAAGCGCGGTGGTCGTCGCGCAGCGCGTGTTTGAATTCCGTGTAAATAAACAATGCATTTTACACGCGTTGTATACGTCGCTATGAGTCTCATATCGAACAGGACGCGGCACGACGACTGCCGCCCTTTAACCATAGTTTTACGCTTCGGCTCATAAAAACTATTAATTGTTATAATAAGTAGAGGGCGTAAGTCACAATGCAAAGTATATTTCATAGTAAACATGTACTTACTTATGGGAGGCACTAACGAGCGTAGTCGACACAAGATATTTAGGGTAATAGTTCATAATGCATTTCTAGAGTAGTCTTACAGCACTACGGGCATTCACTGCAGAGTGTATATGCCGTAGTGTTTTATGAAAAGTGCTATTTCGTCAACATGACTTGGTGCTTCCATGCATGTACATTCTTTTCCGCCACTTAGGCACGAAAAACAAACAAAAGACGACCTACGTACAGGAAGTTCCTCAAACCCCCTGGCAATTATAGTAAAGGTAGTCGACTGAACCGTGTTGTTCAATGGTATGTGCAGTGCATTGTCATTATTCGAATTATATAATACAGTGACTGTCATGCAGTGTAAACACATTTGGGTTTATTTTGACACAATGCACGTATATGCATAGACCGATGGTCTATGGTATGTGACGCTAATTTGGTTGAACTGACCTCGAACAAACACTCAAACATGAATACCTGCAATGGCAACTACGCGTCCCAGCAATTCTCCTATGTAGTCGTCAAATTCTTCAAGTTGTGTCCCTTCTTTACCATTCAGGCACCCCGAATCAGCTTCAAGTTGTTTATACAACTTTTCCCTTAACGTGATTCTCCAGAAACACTACGTACAACCGATAGGACCGCGAGACAGTGGCGTTCTAGATATGTGCGTGCGTTCTTAATAAAAGGGCGATTGTGACCGCTTTCACACTCTATAACAAAGGTCATCGGCGATGAACTTTCAACTCTTACCAGTCACTGATTTCTATGAGCATTCAAAGAGGAAGTGGTAAGAGTTCGTTAGGATCAGAGTTATGAGTGAGGGACCCTAACAAAAATGCCCCTCTAGTGTGTCTCCCTATTTTAATTGTATATACTCCTCTTCAAGTCCCATATGATTATTTGGAGGGATTATATTCAATCTTATCAATGACTCTTTTATTAATGTATTACAATGCAACACCCCCGTGTATATTACTAATACCATGGATGTACTAACACGTGTTAGTACGTCCATGCTTATACCCTGGTTTTAACAACACTGGCAAGTTGTTCCACCAACTTTTCATCAAGGTCACTTTTAGAATTGGTAGCCCTAGTCACCGTCCCTAGTGTCTACCAAATTATTTATGGAAATTTACAACACTGGGAATGATGTTATTTTCGGAAAATTGCAAGTTTGTAATTCTGTTATCATAATGCATTTATGTGTCCCAGACGTGGAATATGATGCGTGGATCGAACTTGCAGCCAGCTGATTGTAAATTTTCTATCATGACTGCCTATGAGTACGAACACACTATTGGGACGCTTAAAGTTAGTTGTTAAATATAACTAAAATTGTCATAAATCCGACGAGAAACGCGATTCAAACTTGCACATGCTTTTTTTATGCGCGTTAGTGTATATGCCCTAATACATTGAATGCATTATTCTTGGATTAATTCAATTTTATGTTTCAGGTTTGATAATGAGAACTCAGTGAATATGAGAGACGTTCATAACCAATAGAGTCAGAACAAATGGCATCATCAAAAAGTAAATATAAGCTCGTGGAGTTTTCGTGTCAGCATTCCGACCAATAACATGGCATCAAATATACTATCATGTTGCAAGTAAAAACGATGTACTTGAAACAGAATAAAGTGTTTCCGATTTGCAACGCACTCTAAATGGAAATACGTGAACTGGTGAACAACGCAGGTCTGTTTCTCGAGCTAAAAGTTCTTGAAGACTTTTTTAGTCCGGGGATATCATAAATCACTTTTCCAGGTGAAGTTGGTGAAGCATTTCCAATGTCAATGGCATGACAATTCATGATAGGGATACCTGACAACTTTACCGATGGTGACTACCTATCTCAGAGTTGGTAAGCGTATAAACGGTAATAGAGTAACCCCTGCTGCTTTGCGGCTTCCTTCACAGACGTGTAATTGCCGAATCAACAAAGCTCGTCTCTTTTTTCAGTGTGCTTTGAATAATTTAACTTAGTTTAACCGTCTGAACCAGACCAATACCTTCAAAGTCTTCCGCTACTACCGGTTACTAACAAATAACTCCGTATGTAATCACTTGATGAAGCTAGAAGAGTGTAGTGCTTTATATGTTTATGTACTTCAAACATTAAATCAGCGTAATTGCCATGAAAGGACTGGGCAGTTCTCTCAATAATGTCTCATTTCTCCACACAATGCCACCATTCTCCTAATAATGTCCTCTTTCTCCACAATGCCACTGTCCTCCTAATAATGTCATATTTCTCCACAATGCCATCTTTTTCCAATACCCTTTTTCACACAATGTCACGTTTCTCTTCACAGTGTTTCCATGCAATGTCACTTTACTCCAAACAATGCAGCCTTTTTCAAAACGATGATACCCTTCTTCACCCAATGTAACGAGGTTGCTGTGTCAGGTCAAATATTAGTCCAAAATACCCGCTAATAATCAATATAAAACTTTTGTGTGGGTGCTTAAACATTTAAGTTACACAATTCGTGACAATTTAGACTGAACGGCTTCATTCTAGTTCAATGCAATTAAATGTATACATAATTAGAGACACCTCGGTCAATATTACGCATACGACGCCACTCATGAACACCGTGGAGTGTCGAAAATCTACTGTATCGCGAGCGCGGACCCTTTCCGGCAGGCAGAATATTTAGCAGGTAGCCTATGGAAACACACGGTCGAGCTTTGTACCAGCGATGACGGACGTCATGCAGTGTATTGTATAATTGGTTTATAACACCTGTACATTCATCACATGGATACTCATCCAAGGACCGTGAAATAAAAGTATGCCATTAGGGACGACATCTTGGGCACATAGCACGATTTATTGACAAACATTTGTACATATAGTGTTAAATGCATCTAACTTAGGGGTATATATTATACCTGTGTGGGCTATTATCAGTTAATACTGCGATAATAGTTAAATACATAATTAAATCTATCATGTAAAACACACAATTCGTTATAATAAAATAAATACACAATTATGCCTAACACAGTCAGCGTTTACGCATACCCTTGTAGATGTTTCCACAGATTACTAACTTAAGAATTCAGAACGATATTGTTCAGGAAAAAAAGGCATATGCAATCTGTAGATCATCAGTACTGTCAGTCAGAAAAATATCAGAATCATAGCTTGTAAATATCATTATTGAAAATATGGTCGCAATTTTCAATAGAAAAATATTGTGTAATCTGTAATATCCGAAACGTTTGCTGTAAGCTTAATGTGGATTTCCTGTCATCTGTTATTTAAAAAGAAAAACATTATTTATAGCCATTTGAATTCTGAAACACTCCTGTGAGCATAACAATATAGGTGATTTTTTTGCTAAATTAAGTTGCTAAATTGAAACAGTTGTTCTAGGAACAATTGTGTTTTTCAATGGTAAATGAATACGACACTTTTTTTTTGGGGGGGGGGATTCTCCTATTATGACAGTACATTTCAACACTGTACAATATATAGCTAGTTAAATTGTTTTTGATATGCAACTAACTAACATGTTTGGGGGGATTTGAATAAAAAAAAATCAAATTAAATTCAAATAATATGTATTTATTTTATCAATCTGAGACTCGTGAAAGGCATTTTTAAAGGTATTCATTCAATGAGAGCAGTGAAATACTTGTATGTACAATGAATATAATTATGTTCAGTTTCTCAGATGCAATATTTGTAAAATTGTTACATACCTGAACTTTCTACACATATAGACATATTTACTGTTACTGTAAACTGATACAATTGACTTTTATTATAATTTTCCTGTTTTATCTCGATTTCTGAAAAAAACACAATTATATACATTGTATTGGGGGCTCGAGAATTTGAATTGAGGGTGTTGTGCTTTGTTTTGCAGAAACACAATATCCATATTATTATATTTTAATTATTATACATTTTTTTTATTTACTCTACTTTTATACATTTATTTTCAGTTGTCTGAATGCTGTACAAGTAATTTTTTTCCAAGGCAGTAAACATTTCTTGATTGAGAATGAAACGTTTGTGATTACGGATGCAGAGTTTATATCGTCACCTTTTTAGCTTTATATCATTTGAAGTATATTGTGTGGGTCAGAGTGGGTAATTGTTTTTTTAATTAAAGTAAACTTGTGCAATATATTCATGATGATAGTTTTACTATGTTTTTAAACAAATATGTTCCTTTAATTGTATTTATACCTATATTTTCATTGTTCAATTTTGGTTTCTCGTCGTTTATTAAATAATATTTTGTAATAATACTCTATGTTCTATATAATATATCATCGATCACCCCTTTCACGTGAGTGAGAGTTCCCGTATGAGCCTAACTTGTCTATCCAGGAGGATGATTGAATCAGTTCTTTGTGGCAACACGAAACTTCCCCATAACAATTGGTTAGTGTATCTAACACTGATTTGTTTATATTTTCTATTTTTGGTCAATATTGATTTTGTAGTTTAAGTTTGGAATTTGTGACTTTTTAAAGTTTCAAAGATGCACGTATGTTACTTCAATGAATATTACTGGAATACAATACACATATTGACCCCGTCCATGGTGGATATACAAATATTGTCTACTCCTAGAAAGCATTGTTGGAGTTGCTGAAGTCAACTATACCTTCGGAGGGAAGGCAAATCAGTACATATATTGCAGAAAGGGCCATAATTGTAATAAAAGCATACATGTCGTAATATGTTGCACTGCGACACACTTCTTGCCACAGTTACCAATAAAAAATTTCAAGAAGTACTCACCATTGTCCTTGGTATTTTTTCATACGTCGGTTTGCTGGTATTTTTATTTTCTAAAGACCTGCAAAATTACTGTAACTATTATGATGGTAAACTAGTTATGAACACCTAGCAGCCGCGATGTTTACATAAGATGGGCGCAACGACGCATAAAAAAACAACAACAATTAGTCCACATAATACGTCAATATGCGACTCTGGCGACAAACTATAATATTAAACGCATTCCTTAAATGTTATGTACAATTTTCAGTTAGTATTGTCGATTTCATCTACACTATGGATCAGATTGTTTTCACAAAGCTATATCAGCTGACAAGTTCCTTGTTTGATTAATTGTAATTGCGTACGATTTATTTGCAACAATTGTCAGTGAATGTTCTATAGTGTTCATTGACGCGGTGTTTAGCAACTGTAATACAGCATGTGATTCGTGATCTGTTCAGTTAAATGGACATATATTATCACAATTTAATAAAGTACAAACTTTTGTTTGTATGTGAACCCCATGTCGCAAGCAATTCATGCTATTATAAATCACTGACGATATTGCACTTATTTTATTGTATCACATTCTAAGCAGAGATAATAAACATATATAATAAACATACAAAAAAATTGCAGCATAAATTGGTTTAATGTCATATTTAAAAAATAAACAACTATAGACGAGTTTCACAGTGTGTTAATTTTTTGTTACAGTTTTTAACATGCTTGTATGTTGTTCCCAGAAATATCTCGCATTGAAATGTAATAAATTATATTTTGTCCAACTTTTGTCCATTGTGTGTGTACGCATGGTAAATAAGCAACAGATGTAGCAGAAACATTGATATAACAACAATATACACAAACAATTGAGAAATAGATAGAATCATATTTAATAACATGTTTCACACAAACATGTGGTACACATGTGTTGGTAATATATTTAAATGATACATTCTTAAAAATACGTTTAGGTATCATGTTCACGTGATTTAAATAATAAGATTGGGAAATTCGAGGTTTAAAGAGTTTATAAGTGACAACTTTCAAAAATATTTAAAATCGAAATGTTATAGCAATGTATGAGCAATATTTGACTTTTTAGTATGTTATCCCCCATTTTATGTCTGTTCACACAACGCGGGAAATAATAGAATTAGTATGGAACGTATTTTGACATAATATATATATATTTTGAGTTTTACAATTTCAGGTATCACATTGCAATTAAGAAGGTTACTTAATTATTGTGAACTAGAACAAAGCTGAATGTGTACATCTCCAATAAATAACAACCAATCAAACATAAAACAAACGATCTTTCTCGCAAATCTACCCTATCGTTTTCCTTTTTCAGAAGTAGAGCCACTTTCTCTTGACTTCACTAAACGCTCAATATTTGCACGAAGTCCACACTGCATTCAACATCTGAGGATAAATTGTAACGGTGTGATAATCAATTATACAATAAAAAGAAAGATGATATCTACATGTATTCATGGAATGTGAACTGATTCTTATCATATGATAGACAAATGATTATAACGACTCAAATGATTGAATCATATAACGACTCGTCGTTATAATTGCTCGAGATATATACTATACGAGTTGAAAGTTACGACCCAGCGTCACAAACAAATCGAATTAAGATTTGTTGCAAAACAATTGGCCAACATGGCAATACATTACGCCATTTAGAAAATGACGATTTTATGAAGTATCAAAAAATGTAAGAGTATGACAAAATATTTTTTCTCACCAAATTCACAAATATAGCCATTGTTATTCCAACAGTAATTATCATCCCACTTCAGTAGCTTCTTATTCCTGTCGTTAAATTATGCATGTAAATATTTTGGGGTTATTCTAAATTGAACACTTGGAAAGATTATTTCGAAATTGAGGGACATTAAAAATATGGGATTCAAACTTATAATAACACACTTTATGAAAATTGCGTTGCGACAATAATGGACTATTTTTCTCAATGTAATAATGTTCAGAATAGAGCACATATATTAATTTTGTGTCTGAATATTTAAGTCTGATTGCGGTAAAGCAGACTTTGAACATTGTACATTAAGGGTATGTTATGTCAATGTTTTTAAATATATATACAAATCTAGCAAAAATAGAAATCGCAAGGTTGTATATATATTGCATATGAAATATAGTTTGAGTGTATGTATATTATTAGTGTGTAGTGCGAGGCTTACCAGAGCTGAGCACATTGCTGACCATTACTATCTTTCTGTTGGTTATTATTTGGTTGACCCTTGGCCCATCTTGTGAAATCACCCAATGGTGTGCCATCAGACCAAATAAACTCCCCGTTACTGTCCCGAGCGAGTCCAAACCAGAATCCACGATGTACTGCTTGATCAATCTGACCATCCAATATAAACTCTCTTGTCATTTGATATATTGGTTTCGTATTCATCATTGCAAGTCTTCCGCCAGTACTTTCACAGTTGAATTTAGCCAATGACCATTCAACCTGGCTTGTGAATACCTCGTAACGCTTACACAGGATGTTTGGCATACACTCTTGTACTTGAATCAAAGAAATAATGTTATGTCTCTACGATGATAATGTGCAATAATGTTCTGAACGTAAATGAGGGTGCAAAAGACAGCTGAATTACTGTAAGTCCACCTCACAAAGGTTTTGTTGCCGTAACGCAAGTATAAGTTTGATCCACATGTTTGACCCTCAATTAGACAGATTAAAGTTAAAAAAATACTTACGTAGCTCATTGGGGAGTATTATAGCACTTCGAGAGATATACAATAAACCCGTTCTCCATGCAAATATATTTCCTTCAGCGGTGTCAACTGAAAGACTTTGTATCATTACCTCATTCATTGCGAAGTCCCACATGTTGAAAAGGGCCAGTTCACCGACTAGTGCGCAACATTCCTCATATGGATCATTATTTTTTTGACCAAGCATCATTTCGCCCGCTTCTTCTATTATAGCCCCAGTTTTGAAATTAGTGCCAGACCCTACAGATACGCCATTGTCATAGATCACCCATTCCCCACCAGTGGACTCCCATGTAGTACATACGTGATGCCATGCCCCATCGTTGACTGCGTAGCCAGTCGGTGAAACATCGCTATAGTCTACGTACAATCGCATGTTCATTGTATTTACAATTGCGAGTTCTAAATCATCATTGTTGGCGCTATACGAGAACGGCGTCCCCTGGTTTGTCGCGCTAGTTTTTACCCATATACACGCAGTGACTTCGGACATCGGTGGTATTGGTGAATAATCACTAACCACTACAGACGAATTGTGATCCATTTGTACCTTGGCACATCTAGCATTAACTGGTTGATCCGCTGAGGAAGACGGAAACGATAATTAATGATACATTAACTAAATTAAACGAACTATGGTGAATTGGAAATGCACACGTCACATTAGCACCGTGTTCAATCAAGAACATTCATTGTAATGGCATATCATCAGTTACAATAGGACACATGCTTAATGATCTAAACCCTGTCAATGTAGGTTTTCCAAAGTAACAATATTTAATATAATTAGAATTATATGATGAATAATTCATGTAGAGGCTGAGCACACTTTTTACAATATAAGTATACATAATTTATGGAAAATTAACGGACAACACATTGAGTCGTTTTATCTGGACTAATTGTTTGAAGTTAAATTCAGTTGATACTCACAGCATACATCAGCAAGTTGTACGGTAGCATCAGTGACAGTAATCTGGCTATCTGCATGTGATTTCCACGAAAACAGGTTACCTTCTATTAAACCATGGCAATCCTTGGCCGAGGCTAGAATGTCACCAGGAGACAGGACGTAGTCCCACATATTGAATAAGGCAATTTCACCAATAAAGGCTTCATCAGAATCAAAATCACCTCCAACTGAATCTTGTTCTTGACCAAGTATTAGGGAACCACCACCGGTTATTGTTTCATCGGTTTTTACATTGGTAACTACTCTTCTTGAATATCCATTGATATAAATAACCAGTGCTCCGTCATTGCTCTGCCACGTGCCGCACACATGGTGCCAGATACCGTCGCTCGCCACAAAATCTGTGAAATGACCACCGGAACCCTTCACCTCGAACATGACATCATAAGGGCGATATAACGTGAATTCATTGTCCTCTGACGGAACAGCGTAGGAGACAATTGTACCGTCGTTTAAGCCAATTGTTTTCATCCACACGCATATTGTGATGGCAGTCGTCGGAAAAGAGGTTGGTGTGACTGTCACAATGGAGTCCACGTCGACAACTACCTTATCACCAGACGATATACCTGTACATGATAGAACATATTTAATCACGACTTGATTGATAAACATAATACATAATTACATTATATATACAATTATACAATATACAATTGATTTTGTTTTACATAATTTATAAATCCATTACTGCACATTTGTTTCAACTGTTAACACTGGTGTTTCAAAAAATTACACTATTTTCGAAAATGGCTGTGTGTGCTTACATTAATGTAGAGCGACTCGGGTGTCGGCGTTTATTCCATGTATATGCAGGTGCAGGGCCCTCTATACAACTCATAGTTCATGCTCAAGTAGTTGACAAAATGAAGGTAATAAAAAACCGAAATAGCACCCAACATTACAAATGGTATATTCACTTTCCATAATTCTAAGCGAATAAATAGGTGAGTTGTTTCTAGTCACCGCCGATCATTTCAAAAAGAACCCGACGCCCACTGCACCTCTGAGCACCAGAAAGCAATGTTTCCTGTTCTTACCTGTAGTACTCAATATTCCTTCTCCAAGTATCATCTACGGAGATAATAATAAATAATAATACGTACACAGGTAATTAACGTTAAAATGTAATAAAGGTAAACGAATGCAGATTATAATCTTGTATGGGTAGGTTTGATAGTTCAAATACATTATCAAGCTGCCTCATGACGTAATAAACAAAGTGAAACATATAGCGGGTATACACTGTACATATTCATGATCTGGAGACAACAACAAAACCCCATAAATTTAAAATGATTAAGATTAATATGATCAGATACCAGTATTACTGGAATAATGTTAATTGCCATTTCGTCAGCAGATTTCCAGTGTCAATAATATATAATGCAGACCTGTTGAAAAAAAAATATATACATAATGTGACATTCGTAATTCGGTAAAACGTTTCAATCCTTTTCTTTCTTATTACTAAATATATAACAATTCTAACAATCGATTAATGAGCCAGTTAACTCAGTCCAATAATCAGTTCGTTTGAAAAAAGCAGCAAAAAGTGATTATACACACAGTAATGTATGAACAAAATAACATAAAATTAAGGCGCAAGATAAATATTGCTAAGATAACAACATTTACTTACATAGACAGCACTACTCTGCTACAATGCTCGGTGAATGTAGACTGCACGAGATATTTATAGAATTGTTTATAGCGGTCCCATTACTCTAGCAACGCCACATGAAGGTTAACATATGCGGGTTCATTTATTAAAAATCGTAATTGAAAGTTGGATTTCACACGATTCCCCGCAAATCAAATTGACAGCTAACATTCTACTGGAGCATACACTCGTAGAATGTTCAGTAACTACCGGCATTGCGGTGTTCTGCTTGTTACAATTAATTGTATTGGATGAAATACCAAACGTTGTTATAGACACAGTATACCTCTATCCTGACGATAACGTAGTCAGAAAACGCAGCAAAAAGGGATATTCATTATTTCAGAGTTATCATAGAAGGAACGTCCTTTAAAACGTCCTAACACGTCCTGTTCGATACGCATGCCATTCTACGTATATAACACGAATAAAACACGTAACCTTGTAACATTTAAGCCCATACCACCTTAAAGGGCGGCAGTCGTCGCGCCGCGTCCTCTTCGATATGAGACTCTTAGCGACGTATACAACGCGTGTAAAATACATTGTTTATTTACATGAAAATCGAACACGCGCTGCGCGACGACCACCGCGCTTTAAAGACACAAATATAATAACTGAAAATCTAATATAGAGTATATTATTAATATATGTTTATGTTACAGTAGCCTTTGTTATTAAGTTTATGCGCTTTTTACACCAGACGACACTTATTAAATCGTTTTTGAGTTACGACATTCTGTCACGATGTGCCTATTTATATGCATGAGAGGAGAAATAATACTTGCGAAACTCGATTGACAATTTACTTACGTATTGTTGTTTCTACTATTCCATACCCTGGATCCATCCAATCAACTATATATCTAGTAATTTTGATGTTATGATTTAAATTTTCCCCATGACATAATTATCATTGTTCATTTTCTTATTGTGGGGGAAATTTGCAAGATATGTTTAAAAAATATTATTGCTCACGGACATTGTAGTAACACTTGGTTTGAAGATTTATTCTCATGTACTACACAACTACACAAAAACACAAGTATTATTGCAAATTAACCAACTTGTAAAAACAACACATATGGGAAAAGGGCCACATCCACTTAAACCGAATGTCTAATTAACCTACTCATACTTGAATACATGTTTGGTCAGGAAAAAACTCATCTTACTTCATATGGTTAATAGCATACAATTTAATATGCATAATTATGTGTGCCTAATTGGTTGATAGAAAAACAAAAATGTATGTGTGTGCATGTAAGGCACAAAACAGAATAAATTAACATAAAAAGCAATATATTGTTACACCAGTTATAATATGTATGCGAGTTTTAATACGAATACGAATAAATACCTGACCTGATTGATATATTTTATTTTTATATCATAGGTGTTTCAATACATGTACGCAGTGGTGCAAAACAACAAACAAAGTTTCCAATATATTGACTGGTTGTCTTTATAGACCCGACCCCATTAATAAACGCTTGACGCCATGGACAACTATCACACATACTAGCGTTTAATATGTCTACGTTTCCAAGAGCATTTTGCAAGTACGGTTACATTAAAAACTATTTACATTGCGTTTTAATTAAAGAGTGAGTTTTAATAAGCAGAACATTCTCCACATTTGCCACCAACCTCCTCGAAATGAACAAAAACATATACCACATTTATTTATGATTTATGTTTATGAGTTTTCATATCGGAACACGCAAATTTCGATTCAGAGAACATTGGATTTCAAATATTGATTTATGACAAATTACCTGCACAATACGGATACATTGTGGAAAATGTGTTTAATAGTAGTATATTTTTTATTCAAAGAAGCCTTGTATTTATGGTTCCAGAGAATGTTATTCAATTCTTCAAATGCATCTTTTATTGATGATGCAAGACCTAGTCTAATACAACACACATGGCTAAAGTGCAAATTATTGATGAAATCACCAAGGAAACGTTATTTGTTTGAATACATTTTCCAAGATATACTGTAATCTGTACTGAACTGTAATTAAAAAATGAACTTGGCATAATTGTGCTGTTACTTACCGTTTCTATAGCAATGCGGTGTTCTCAGAAGGAACATTTATTTTGAAACTGACATTTCCGGTAATAATAAATGATATTTTACCAGGTGGGTGCATAACAGCACTGTTTATTATTTTTGTAATTCCATTTTGATTTTAACGTTATTTACCTATTTTACTTTTCAAAACAAATTGTTCATCTAATTTTATTAGAATTTTTGTTTTGTCAAGTTTATGTTATGTTACGTTGTCATGTATAGTGATTTTGTTTTCATGTATCAGCAATGATTGGTTTGGACCAATAGGCTTTCTAGGTAGGTACTAAGAATATACCCGTCAATAACCATCATATCATTTCAAACATATGTACAAGAGAATAGAACATGGAATCATATATGCTATTCTTGCCATTCTATTCCAAGCATTATATGGTGAAAAAGACACTTTTAATCAAAGTTGCTATTGGCGTGGTTATATGGTTGCTAGGGTATGATGTCATGCAAAAAACAAATTTTTCAAAACACGTACACCACGAAAGAAAATCAGTTTTATTGATCGAAAGTTCATGCACTGTGATTACAATGGTGACACACAAGCCTAATAAAATGAAAAGTATACGAGTTAAATAGTATTTTAAATAGTGTCTACATAAAAAATGACATTGATGAATATAAGATCAGAGTAATTATATTTAACCACAAGATAAGTAAAGGTAGTAGAGAGTGGAATATTAATGCAAATGTAATGTAAAATTAAAGAATTTTCTGTAGAATTCAGCTTCATACAAATAAAGTAATAAATCAGTCAGCAAGGAAGCACAACTTTGTCAAAAATGTCATCCTCCAAATTCAACAGCCTTAACAAACGACTATGTATGTACTTGCAACGAATAGTTTTCAATGAAAAATGCATGAGAATGATTAGATAAACTGTTATTATGCAGTACGGACAAACTAGCGCAAACTAGTGATGGGTAGGTGGGGAAGGTCACAGCTTCGTTTTAGAATAGCTGTAATCGAAACATAAAGCAACACTGCGAGTTAATAGGAGGTTATATTGACTGTACATTGTATTTAATTAGAATGGAATGGCAGCATATTATTTATGTGTTTAGGCAATATCTGGAGGGGTTAGGGGCAAACTGAAACACTTCCAACCATTTAGACACGTCCATTGCTGAGTATATCTGGAGGTACTTGTATGCGAAGATTATAATGAAAGGTCAAAACCTTTTGACTAAAAGTCGGCGAAACAGCATTCTTTGGTAAAAAATTATTTGGTATTTACTGTACGACTACCCTGTTAAGGGCAATTCAATTCCTGTGTCATGCAGGTCTTGTAACAGGGAATTTTAAAGTGAGTTACAGCTCTGCTGAGCATGTGGCCGAGATAAAATCCGACTGTGACATACAGTCTTTTATTTTAGTTCGAGTTCCCATTTAGAGAGTGAGTCTTGTGGTGTATATACTAATATACTTTACAACATCCTGGATGAACCAATCCCAGAAGCAATGAAGAAGCTCTTACTGCTTCAGAGATATTAATCTTCCCCCTAGCCTCTGTTTGATAATAACAATACAGGATAGCTTACTTTAGGCAGACAGCATTTGTAGTAGGCTATTACCTGTGGGGTGGCAGATGGATGTACTTCAGATGTCACTTCTCAACATTTCACAGACACTCATGGAAGAGATTTTAGCTCTTGGAGGATTTAAGATTCAATTCGCTCTTAAGATCGAACTTTGGAAAGACAATGGCAATGGTTAATGGCATGGAGGAGTGCACAGATCCAGGAGACCAATGAGGCACCAGATAGGGCTTTCCCCACTATAAGGAGACGTTTTAAAATGGTGGTGGTCGAAAGAGTTATGACTCTCTGGCTTCACATTGCTGAGTATCAGCCACTGAGGGGCAGCTCATATATCCCATTACCAGCAGCAATGAGAAACAAGAAAACGGTCATCAATATGAAAAACAAACTCTTTGATTGGCACTGTGCTCATCTATTTTGCATGAAGGTATATGCCGTATCCTATTCAGGATACCCTCGATTTTCACATGAGTGATGCCCCTACACCCATCTCTCAGATTTAGAAGATCTGTCGTCTGGGTGAATCTGGTGCTCCACAACCCCTGGTTCTGATGGATGTGCATATGACCAGTAGCTAGTTTGCCACACCCATGAACATGCACCCTAAGTCAACTTCAAGCTTCTGCCAGCTTAGTGGGCTGCACTTGTAGATGTGAGATGTGTCAAAGACCATTTTGGCTTTTCTGTAACCATCCTTAAAATATGAGGCCACATCCTCCACTGTAAGGGAATACTGAATATTTTACTGCTGCGAGGCAAATAGCCATGTGGCAGAATAAGGCTTAGTTTGGTGTACTCAAAAGGCAAATAGTTTTTTCAGCCATGTGTGAGCCACATCTTCTGGAATCTGCAGCAAGCTTCTTGATGGCTGCAATGCATTTCCATTAGTCTCGAGGGCTATTGTAAGCATCCTAATATCCATGTTATCACCTAAAGTAGTAATTTGTGTCTTCAAATTGCTTCTTCTGTAACCAGAGATTCGGGAAGAATGCTGAGACTCAGGTTCTTGACCGATAAAAAGCTAACTTGAGCCATGAACTGGGAATACTCACGAACCGTGTCATCAGCACTCTGAAAAGTGTTCAAAGCATGGTTTTGCTGACGATGTTCAGCATTATTCCAGTCAAGAAGCTCAGACCAAGCAGTATGGACAGCTTGGACTTGTTCTATGGCTAAATTATGACACTTGCAGTCCCTGAAATGTCGGCATTTTCCCACTTTGACAAGAGGTAGTTTGAAGGCCAGAACATGAAGAGGCCACCACTGATAAGTAATTCCATGGAAGCTGCCACTTCATAATATAATATGGTAGGATCCCATGTTAGCATATCCTTTATGAAATGGCCAGGTTAATACGACTGTAAGTGGGGCTAAATGAATGCCATAGAGGTAATACAGCTCGCAGGTAGCACTGCCTAATACATGCCCAACAAAAGGGTCAACCGCCAGATTAACAACCAGCTTTTGCTGATTTTTACCAGGGATTGGAAGGAACATGGTGACTATCCAACAGTATTTGTCATAAGACTTTCTGGATACTGTTTGGCATGCCCCCTTGCAATCAGTGCAGCTAGTCGTTCTCTCTTGTGCCAAGCTTCACTTTCAGACTCTGCATCCAGTTTTCCTGAACCAAGCTTCAGATAAAAATTCACAGGAGAATTGTTGGGTGGATTGTTCGGTTCATTTTTGTGATATTTCCTTCTACAGCAGTCGATCAGGTCATGACTGCCTTCATATAACTGCATTCAGATGTTGCTATTGTCAGCTGCCGAATCGTACAAACCACACAAACTGATAACCAAAATTGATGCCTGAATAAATAAGTGTTAACCACGTGTTTCAAATGACTTTATAAGCAGTAGGCTGATCAGACTTCAATATAAGCTTAGCATGTTTTGTCTCTGTAAGCCACTGATGGACCATGGCATGTTCTTCTCATGTTGGAACTACATAATCTTGCTTGAGACAATCTCCAATGATTATCGACCAGTGACGACATGCCGAAATGTTTCTTTTTAATCATACTTTTGCATCATAGGCATGTTTTTGTAACATGCCACAAACAATCACTGACAAAAGCATCACGTTCATGAGCTTTTGGGTTTACAAATCGTAATGCAAACATTAATTAATTTAGTTACTAAAGAATGCATAGCAGAGGAATAAAATAACAACAACAACAACAAAAAGCTATATTCAAAACATATCGAACTGTTCATGTAGTATAAATTGCTCAAATATGTTGCTGTACTATTATTTTTAGAAACTTTTGTACAATTGATCTTATGTTATTGTAAAATCACATTGAGAATAATACAGTACGAGTAGAACATGAATAATATGACGTTATTACGAGGATACTTCAAAGTATGAACGAAGACAGTACAGCAGAAGTGCAGCAGAGGTCGATGCGACGGTGTACTGTCTTATTATTACACATCTTTTCCTTCCAAGGATACATCATGGGAATGCCGAAATCCAAGAACAGAATCAGCGAACTTCATTGTGAAAAGTCTGGTATGCACTCAGACAGTGCACCATCGCTTCGACCTTCATACTTTGAGATATCCTCGTAATAACCTCATATTATACATGTAATTACAGCGCATTAATACCTAAATTTAAAAGTTATTTTTATGCAAAATATTTAGATACATTATTGCATTGTTTAAGAAATTTTATACTCTTTTTGCCATGCATATATAAAAGATGCATTGTTAGTTTGTATTCATCCATCCATTTGGTATAAATCTAGATTCTCAGTGGACAAGATTGTAATAGTAGTCTATGTCTATTTACCGGTATGAATCCTACAATCACTCTGATAATTTCCATGTACGTGATTCCATGTACGTGATGATATTTTAGTCATCATTATCTTCTTTGTCAACTACTTTATTCGTCCTGATGTGGTTTCCAAAAAGATTAAATTGCCATCTTATCGTGATCTGCATTATGGATGGTTTCTTGTATTTCAGTTCACACAATCTCAAAGCTTTTGTTAGTTAAATGTCCTTACACTTCCATATCTTTTACAGCAGTTGATGGTTAGTACGCCACATCTAGTAGCTCACAGTATCTTTCCCTGATTTTACGGGGTGCACTGAAGCTTTCACTACGTTTGGTGTTAACAGCGACCTCTAGTGTCAGTCGTCATAAAAACAAAGACTGAGTAATTTTATTAATTATTTTGTACAATTATTTAGATAGTTTGTATTCATGGTGCAGATTTAGTCGTGTATTACCGAGAAGTGTTTTTTCCCATGATGCAACGGTCGCCATTTCTCCATTGTTTGTAACGGTAAACGCTATGAGGCATTTTCGCCAATAATCACTCGGAGCACTAGCTAAATAGGCCCACGCGGTATTGTAGTTGTATTATTTGTACTTCAGAGAACAATTTTGTTAGGTGATGAACCAGTATAGAAATGTTCGATGTGACAATGACGTGTTATGAGTACAAGCATTACAATGTGAACGATTTCATCATCACCTCGCTTGTATTAAGATTTAGTCATTTTGTATGTTCTTTGTTAATTGTTAGATCTTACAGTGTTGTATATGTAAATTGAAGACGAAATTAAAGAGATATGCCACATTAGTCAAGAATGGGATTGCCTGAATTGTAGTATTAGCTGGGGATGCCAGACAGTTAGCAACTCCTGATGCAATGGTTTTTATGAAACTAGCCCCTGCAAATTGATATGCTCACCGATTTCTACCCCAATCTACCAATAAATACCATGAATCAGTGGCATCCACCAATTTATGTACACATGCCCATTATTTTAATTGGATCGCTTGCAGCATACACCCACTCAATCAGTGGTTTGCACATGTGTCCATCAGGGCGCGTCAGGAATGTTACCTTCCAAAAATGCCATCTTCCATATGCTTCATGTAAATATTGTAATACTGAGTGTACATCCATACAATTTCCGTATATATGTGTCTCCAAAAACTACTCTTTCCTTACATTGAATTGCCAAGGACTGACCTCAATATCCAGGTCACCATAATAATGTACATCAGTGTTTATCTCCATGTCAGTGATCAACACATTAGTAATGAAAGCATGCTTCATAAACTGGGACACTAGTTGCTGAGGATTTGTCAACTTTTGTTACCCCTGTCTATTTAAAGTCACAAGAAAAAAAAGGTATTGCTAATCTAGGAACTAATTCACATTAAACTTTACAATTCGACCCCCTCCAAAAACCCACAAAAGAACACGGCAATACTGCAGCAGATATTGAGAACATAGTGCGTTATGAGCCCCCGAGTCACAAAGACTGTCAGAATCACTGTCAGAGTCACTGTCAGAATATTGAATTGAAAACAGATGATCAAAAAACCATTGTCTACTATAAAGAGGGCGCCAGACGTGCCACTTTCATATATATTTTCCGTGTTATTACATTTTCGTGTCATTCTACTGCCAGCTAGGTATAATAAGTTGAAGGAATGAATGCAATATATGCTTTGTACATCTGTCAATCTAGAGATTCCCGGATTCAAAACCCTGTTAGATTAATATAATGACAATTTCTAAATATAGCATCCCAAAATTGCAAGACATGTGGCAATAAAGGGTGCACAAAGTAAATTCAAGTACTCAAGGCATGTAGAAGTATAGTCTGTAGAGGCAGCACGAGGGGGGGTGAAAACGCCCCCACTCAACAAAAAAATATTTGGGGCGTCGCCTCCTAAATATCAAGCTGAAACCCTTTGTGTCAGCTAAATTTGACCACCAGAATGCATGAAATATAGTTTCGGAGGATGTATGGACCCCGTAGTAAGGTGAGCAGAAGGTAAGCAGACCCTCACCCCGATGCAAAATTTGGCATGTGGCGGAATAAGGTACACAATGTAAATGCAGTCAGTCAATGCATGTGGCAGAATAAGATGCACAATGTAAATGCAGCAAGTCAAGACATGTGGCGGAATAAGATGCACAATGTTAATGCAGTCAGTCAAGACATATGGCGGAATAAGGTGCACAATGTAAGTGTAGTCAATCAAGGCATGTGGCAGAATAAAGTGCACAATGTAAATGCAGTCAGTCAAGGCATGTGGCAGAATAAGGTGCACAATGTAAATTCAGTAAATCAAGGCATGTGGCGGATTAAGGTGCACAATGTAAATGCAGGCAGTCAATGCATGTGGCGGAGTAAGATGCACAATGTAAATGTAGTAAGTCAAAAAAATATTTGGGGCGTCGCCTCCTAAATATCAAGCTGAAACCCTTTGTGTCAGCTAAATTTGACCCTCAGAATGCATGAAATATAGTTTCGGAGGATGTACGGACCCCGTAGTAAGGTGAGCAGAAGGTAAGCAGACCCTCTCCCCGATGCAAAATTTGGCATGTGGCGGAATAAGGTGCATAATGTAAATGCAGTCAGTCAAGGCATGTGGCGTAATAAGATGCACAATGTAAATGCAGGCAGTCAATGCATGTGGCGGAATAAGGTGCACAATGTAAATGCAGTAAGTCAAGGCATGTGGCGGAATAAGATGCACAATGTAAATGCAGTCAGTGGAATGATTCAACATACTGAAATATTTTTGTTATAACATAGCGTCGCAGTGGGGTCAAACATCGCGTGGGATTTGACAAAGTTGAGAGTATTTCCGTGTATTTCCACGCTCAATAAAACGCTATACACATTTGATGATGGTCAATTTTGATGAAGTAATGGTATCTCAACTCAATATCTTCCTCTTTTTAAGCAATAAAAAAATGCTGGTCAAAATCAACTCGTTCGATTTTTTGCGGCAGACATCTGCGCCTTTCTCGAAATACGCGAGATCTCACAGTGAACGGAAAATTCCCTATTTGTAATATGGCAACTTCGAAAGGAATTCACTAATATCTGTATGATGCGGATTTTTTAAAATAAAACATGATTGTAAACACATGATTGTAAATAAAATATTTTAATATATTTGTAATAATACAAAACAATGATATTTTAACATACAAGAAGAACACAAGTGCTTAGTGGATTGTATGTAAATACCGATACAGTGAGATATATTATTAATACGAAGATCTTCAGCGGGTTTATACAACCTTGCGCATTAGGTCCCCATTCTTCGTGGAAACTTATGTTAGAACACTTTATTTTAATTACAATGTATTATACATATACCATCACGGTAACTATGTTTTAATATTGTTGCGGCGAGTTTTGATTGCATAGTATCATCTGTGTGTGCAATATGTGTTATTAGTGATTCTGTCGCATTTTATGATTTCTTTCGTTTGGATTTTGAGTTTTTATTATATGTAGTAATGGGTCATATGCAATACTGTTTTATTATATCATGTTAAAAGTGCCTTATTGGTAAGATCGCATCCCACCTAATCTGTGGTAATAGATGGTCATTCACCGACAATCTGGCGCAGCCCTGACAGGCAGATGTGTACATCATGGGAACAGTGGGCTCTTACTAATACCCAAATGGTGGTAATAACACTAAAATGGAGCCAGCTGTCATGCCGTAGGATGGATGGCATTGAGTTTTGTAATAAAACTTATTAGTGCATATCTGAATCAAACGAATATACTTAGTGACGGGCTAAGAAAAAAATTACAGAGTTTATATTGGGACTTAATAATTACTATTAACCATTCTGACACATAATACAATTTTTAAAAATTAATGAATAATTTATAAACGGAAGTAACGACCCGCAACGATATTAAATTTATAACAGAAATCACGGAAGGCATATGAACATACTCAAATTTTACATCTAAACATTAAAAAACATCGATGCCATATCGAAGACTATTGAGCAAGTATTATCAAAACAAATCGAAGTCAGACCGGCTAATCCCTGCAATTGTAGCCATAGTGAATTACACACTGCGTAAACATTATCTGGTAACGAGTTGATATGAGAGAAAATTCACCACGACGTGCATAATCGGGCTGTGCATGGCACGCTTAAAGTTGAACATTCTAAAAGTTATCATCTAAACCAAATCAATTTATAACTGAAATTGTAGGTATAGCGACAGCCATCTTGTCAGTATGTGAGATAAGTGGAAATTTGTTGTAGTGTGAATAATCGGACTGTATATGGCGTGCTTAAAATTTACGACTAAACACGGTAACACATGGTTCCATCTTAAAAATTTATGAACATATTTATTGACCAGCACGATATTATATTTATTTGTACAAACTCGCACTCATTAATTTTATAATACTAATCACTGAATGCATATGACGTACTTACAATTTATAATTAAACATCTCTGAAAAAAAACGTCCCTCGGACGAGTACAGTAAGGTAACGAAAGTTCACAAGGTCACTTTTAGAAGTCTGGTGAAAATCCAAGAGGCATCTACACGCTGGGGACGATTACCATTTGAACTTAAATTCTCTTTATTATAGGAGGGGGTACGATAAAGTAGTTACACCACGAATATGATGCCAACATCTGCCAATATAATTAGTTGTGGTGTGAACGATAGCATACTCGGACAATAAGATATGCCGAATATTAAGAGCCGAAATATTGTAAAAGTAAATGCCTCATCTGTAACAATAAATTAGAATAAGCAGCACAGTTTTTAAAACCAAAGATCAAATCCAATATTTGGCAAATGAACAACCAATCATAAACGTATACACTTATTATGTACGCGATTTAATATTCAAGACACGCCATGGAAAAAAACTATTGTACGCTAGCTAGAGCTGTCCCATAATTCCTTGCTAGAGAATCAAGATGGTGGACAACATAACACTGATGCAAAGTTGAATATCTAGAGATTGAAAAGTGATAGAAAAAAATGTAAATTGAATTCTCTTATTTGTGGAGCTCCTTCATCTAGGAGAATTATACTGTTTACTAAATCCCTAAGAGAGAAGGTCGGGCAAACTAAATATGTGTTATATTCGCTGTATTGTTGTATTTTAATTTGTTATGTACTAATGTAATGCATAAATAATAATTATGGGAACATATGAATTGAAATAAACATCGACAAAGTACATTTTAAAATATAAATCGATACACCTATACACGGAACGCCAATTTAAAATAAATATGTACTACAAATGGCAGCACCTGTAAATTGATATTGATGCAAGTATAGAAGTTCGATTCTATGTACACATCACACCCAATACATCATTAAAGCGCGTGTTCGAATTTCATGTAAATAAACAATGTATTTTACACGCGTTGTATACGTCGCTATGATTCTCATATCGAACAGGATGCGGCACAACGACTGTCACCCTTTAATTAGAGGTCACTTGTTGCATCCCATTGATCTACTAAGCTCATCCAGAGTGGTGATGCATCAACACATCTCATCGATTTGAAAATTGTTTGTACGGATCCAGTGTGTTGCTACTCGAACATTCCTCATATTAGATAGTAAAGAAAAAGTTGTAACATTGCTTATGTCAGAACAATTTTATCTTGTAAAAATCATTTCACCTACGATTAAATGCAAAATATTTTCAACAAAGAAATAGGTAACAGGCATTGTTTAGATTAACAAACCACAAACACTTGATAGCATCTTCACAAGTAACTGTTAGATTTTCTGTTTTGACAGCGTAAATTTTGTTGAATTACAACCTGTAAACTGCAAACACAATTTAATGGCGGGACTCCGAATTCTCACCAATTTATTGAGAAAAAATGAAAGTTTTAACACAACACGATGTTTTTATGTAATTGTTTGCTAAGTATTTCCTCCCGTGAGCAAGATGTCAGCCTCTATAAAATTGTGATTGCATGTTTCTTGAAAGAGATTAGACGAGAGTTATATATGGAATTGGTCAGATCCCTGTGAGCTTTCGAACAATAAATAATTCAATACTTATAAACACAAATAATAAGATTAGAACCTGGTCGTTTTTCTCTGATTGGATCATTGTTTCATTGTTCATCTACACAGAAGGGTAGATTTTGCAGCAAATTTACCATAAAATGGACACTTATTTTCATTAATCTTTTTATAATTTTGAATATAGTGAGCGTCATTTTTGTTTTTCAAACGTTGGATATAGATTACATTCAATAAAACGCATTAAATGCATTTAGATTTTATCAGGGAACGTCTTTGGCATAGGTGGTGTAAACATATTTATCAAACCTCACTAAATGTACATCACTACAGTCAAATATATATTCATAAGATCAAATATTACGTCATCAATGTTAAATATAATGCTACAAGTAATTATATTAACAAGTGATTATATGGACGAAAAGCAAATATCGAAAAAAATGAAAAAGGCAAATAACCATAGGTGTGAATATTTGTCTGTTGTAATTTATTTGTGGGTAGGTAGGTGTATACACCATCTACGCCGAAATGTCATCTGAATAAAATCTAAATGCAACTAACACGTTTTAAAAAGTGTGATCTATATCCAAAATTATTGTGTTTCAGTCATTTACATTTCAACATCATTACCAGCATCAATAAATGCTGATTGATTCGCGACTGCTGACAGCGCTGGAGGTCAAAACCACTACGTCCACCCACAACACATTCCAAGTTTGAAAACTAATTTTGTTGGACCATCCGTTAGTTCACACCGTTTGACAGAGCAATGGTCATAGCACGCTTCGGTGACCTTGGCCCCGTGATCGTACTGCTTTGTTTCTAACGTAGGGTCCGTGTCTTTTTTCACTATATATATATATATATATATATATATATATATATATAT